ACGTTGAGCTACGTCAGGAGGACAGGCTCTTGAGTGAGGCAGGACCAGGCAGGGTGTGGGGATTGTGGGCACAGTGTGAAGTCCTAGATGCCAGGGGAGTGGCATAAATTGGGAAACAGCCTGGGGAGCTGACCACAAACTCTGTTCTTGTCACCATTGTGTCTGGACTTGTCTGGGCTCTTCTTTGTTTGCAGTTGAATTCTCCGGTCTTCCTGGTGCTGTTGAAGATCCTAATCATCAAGAAGGAATGCTCAGTGCTGACTCAAAGGATTAGTTCCAGCGGTATACTCATTGGATATCAAAATTGTTTTGGATAATCTGTCCAACCATTCTTGATTAGTTATCTAAATAATAAAAACTCAACAAATGAGGTAAAAACTTGAACATTTTATTATTTAATTTTGAAGATGTTTGCCATACTTTAATTTGTTTTATAGAAGAAAATAAGGCACAGAAAACTTGAGTACCTTATTTTAAAAACTGCATCAGGATAGAAGGGTAGGCCCGATATCCAAGTATGGGTCCATGATTCCATTTCTAGAGTTCTGAAATCCAAAAAGCTCTGAAAACCAAAAGTTGTTTTTGTTTTGTTTTGTTTTGTTTCTTAAATGTTTGGCTTAGTGTGACTATTCATACATTTCACTGAAGAAATATTAATGTATTTAATTACCAGGGGCTGCCCCAGACTGCACTCAGAATGTAAAGATACCTTCAACAAACAAACAAGCAAGCAAGCACTGTCTGAATTCTGAAACATATCTAACTAACCTCAAGGATTTTGTTTAGGGATTGTGGGACTTGCACTAGACTACAGTTACTATTATTTTTTTATTCTGTTGTAGTTTAGTTGTACTTAACAAACTTTAAATATGAAAATTCATATTTGAAAAATATAAATTAAAGGGGAATTACTCACTATTCAACATGTAGGCATTTACTTAATCCCTCTGTTTTCAGAAAGGGAGCCCCCTGTCTTATCTTACCTCCCACTCCTCCACACCCTGTCTTATCTTCCCCAGGGAAGAAACCTCCAGGCTTCTCTAGGGGGTGGGCAGCTGCCTAACTGTGTGGATGTTTGTTTCTTTAACGGTCTTTCTACTGACCTTTCTGTTTAGAGCCCCACCCCCAGCTCCAAATCTTCTAGTTCCTGAAATTTTAGGGGTTATGGTAAATTGTCTTGCTTCTAGGCTTTCTGTAACTGAGGTTTTGGTTTTTTTCCCCAAATTAACACTTGGCCTTTCCTCTCCAGTTTGTGTTGTTGCTGTGATCTTCTCTCTCTTTTCTTACCATTTATGCTTAAAAACAATAACAAAACAATTCCCTCCCCACAAAAAAACCTTTACGTTTTAGTGGGGTTTCAAAGAGCCAGTGAAAGTTAAATATTTGTGTTCCATCTGCCATCTTTATTGGGAATTGAGTGCTTTATTTAAAATAGCTCAATGTTTTCCTTAGGTTCATTTCGTACAGTTTTAGTTTATCTTTCTACTAGACTCTGGGTCTCTTCCAGATGGAGACCAGGGTTTTCAGTGTGTGGTTGAACTCCCTAAGGGTCTTGCTCTCTGCAGTCTCCTAGAGCCATTGTGAACCTGTACTTGCCTTTGGCCTAGGAAGGGATGATTTCAGGGAAGAGCTGACTAGTATTAGGGTCAAAGCACAGACAGCTGTGGAGGGGACTATGGCATCTGCCAAATCTTTGCTTTCTTAGGGGCATTTGACAGTGACACCTATGGATTTCTAGTGAATACACGAGAATCCATACCACTATGACTATAACCAAGGGTAGTATTATAAACATTTAACAACGAGTCTGGCGTGGGTAGTGACCAGTTCTGAAACACCTTTCTGCTGTACTGATGCATACCAGCTGACTATCCACCCGGCTTGTACTCAGGTTCCAGAATGCCCCCAGCTTTCTCCAGCCCCTGCCTTTATTACCTTGTCCTAATTTCCAGAATGGAGCTTTAGAAACATGGGTTGGGGCTAGTCTCCCCCTCTCCCAGGCCTCTTCCTCAAAGCTTATACTCTTCAAATGCCCCTGTGCACAGTGGCAAATAATAGGTGCTGTGGAAATAGAAGATATGGTCTTTGCCTTGGGGGAGGAGTGTGACTGACATCAAAAAGAGCGAGAGATGGAATGTAGGAGTCAGAGGCAGTGTGGGGTAGAATGAGCAAAATCAGGCTTGTCCAGAGGACATTTCTGTATTGGCAGTCTTATCCCAGGCCACCGGAGTCCTGAGCATTTCCCCTGTCAGTTCAGCCAGGCAGACATACTCTGCATTACTTCTCTTTCCTTGTCCCCCTTCTCCTAACCCCTTCCAGCATCCTGCACCCTCCACTCAGCTTCCAGGGGAGGGATGAGGGAAGAGCCAGGAGGAGGGAGCAGGGTTAGGTGGAGAGGAGGACAAAGTCCTACCTCTGACTGGCCAAATTGTGCAGAATGTGGCAGGAGGTGCAAGCTGGAGGTGCTGGAGCAATTAGGAGTCCATCATAGAAACAGCTAAGAGGTCAAGATAGACTTCTTTCCTGTCCTCTCAATCATTTCACTTATATATATGTAACAAGATGAATACGTATGTATATAAGACTAATTTATGTTTTTGAGTAAAAAAATCAGAAAAAAGTTTTTGGTAGGGGAAGAAAGGACATAGGATTAGAGAGAATTGGGAAAGCTACTACCTATATATTTAAAATGGTTCTACTATGTTAAAGGGTCTTTGATTAGACTGCTTTGGAAGCTTTATCTTGGTTTCAGACTTTCTGCCATCTTGACATCACTGGGAGAGGAACCAGGGGCTGTTTTATAATTAATCCTGGGTTATTTGGAGCTGTAGTTTTGAGGGTTAATTCCTGATTTTCACTAGCTCTTCTTGTGCATCTCTTTATTTTTCCACATCTTGTTAAACAGTAAGAGAAACATTTGAATGTTTCTTCATTTGCCAAAAATGACTTATAAGATTATTGTCTTTATGTCCATGGATATGGGCACTGACTCTCTTTACATTACTCCTTAGCCGACATTATCACTATCTTTTTTCAGTCTTAATCGTTAGTAAACCCCAAGCTCAGACTCAACTACAGAAAAAGTAGGTCGACATACAATTATTGAGCACTTTCTCAATGTCAGGCACTGTGTTAGATCTTGGGGTGACAAGGGCGACACTGTCTCCACCCTTGAACTTACAGTCTAGTGGTCAGAAGACCTCTCTTCTGAGCAACACACTATTTTCCCATCTACTAGGTCACTCCACCTGCCACAGGCACTGCAGACTCAGTGTGCCAAAACCTCTAGCCCCTGAAGCTGTGTGTTCTCGTGCTGCCCTAACAACTATAGAAGGAAATAGAAGTGGATGGAAGTTTCATAATGCCAGCCACATATGTAATTTAAACTTTTCCAGTAGCCACATTAAAAAAGACAAAAAAAGCAGGTGAAATTAATTTTAATATTAACCCAATACACCCAACATATTATCCTTTCAACATGTAATCAATATAAAAATTATTGAGATATTTTACATTTTTTTTCATACTGAACCTTTGAAATTCAGTGTGTAATTTAATCTCAGTTTGCTCCAGCGACATTTCAAGTGCTCACTAGCTACATGTGGCCAGTGGCTCCTGTAGACAGTGCAAGTTTAGAATGAAAAGGTAGTATTTGAGGCTGGGCAAAAAATACTCTTTTAAGAAGTATGATAGAACACATACATTATAAGTGTCACTATTTTTATGATTCATGTATATTTTCTGTTTCTTATGGCTTTCTCCTAATATTTAGAGAAGCTTTTGAAATTCCAGTGTTTCTGAGCAGTGCTAAGAAGAATCAGGAAGTATCCTTCCTCCACTGCTGGGAAGGGATTTTTCAAGGGAGAGCAGTTCCTCTCCCTGGCCCTCCCCCCAAGGGGAACCCCAAGGGGAAGTGAAATTCTCAGCACAGAGCTCCTCCCCACTTAGATGGTCCCTTCCAAAGCTTATTGTGAAATCTCTGGATTTTTAGAAGGAAATTGCTTTTCTTCGCATTTTTTCAAAATTTTCATGTCTTAGCTGCCAGAAATGAAATGTATTTATTTTACAATAATTATTACAGCTACAGCCACTGTATATCCTGGATTTTTCCAGGATGGTGTTAATTTTTAATATTGTCTCTTTCAGTCCAGGCATCTTGAATTTTGGTTCAGAAAATAGGATCACTCTATCACACTCTTGAGTGTGAAATATTGGAGAGTACTGTGGTGATCAACCAACTGGTGCTCACCAGTTCCTGGAACTTAGAACTTAATTCTGGATACTTCTCTATGAATGGTTTCAGTAGACTGCTCCTCTCCCTGGGGAGCTGATCTAGTTCCCAGAGGGGCCACGTCTTTTCAGGTGGCAACAGGGGATGTACCTGGGCAGGGGCCCTTCCTTCTCAGGACCTAGTTTATGCTACTGTTCGTAGATCAATTTGAGTTTTAACAGGTGCTTTTTCTGAGGAAGAAGAGATTTAAACTTTATGTAGAGGCAACAAAGCTTTCTAAGAATATTTTTGGCAGGCTGATAAATAGGATTAAAAAAAGAAAAGATACAGGCTCTGGGATAGTAGTGTTAGCTGTTGGGACACCAGCCAGATATTGGTTCACAAATTGGGGGAGACAATGATCTTTACCGTTACTATTCAAAATGCTGTTCACGTTTTTTAATTGTCAACTAAAATTATTTCATTTTCAAGGTCTAGGCTAGTGGGGGAGGGGGGCCGGGGGCTGTTGCAGAGCGCCTGGCTTCCACAGCGGGCAGCCCGGGGAAGTGTCCCGGTGTCCCACCGGGCGAGCCCTCTCCCCTCAGGGCGAAGGGCACCGAGAGGCAAGGGAGAGGGGGAGAGCCGGGTGGTCGCGTCACCCATGTTTTCCAGCTGTCGGTCTCCCAGCGTCCCCAGCTTTCCAGGTAGGGACGCCCCCTCCCACGCAGCGCGGTTCGGGCGGGTGGGAAGGAGGGGCTGGGCTGCGAGCGCCCGCCCCTCCATCTATCACATGGCCGGAGAGCCACAAAAACAACAGCTTTGGCCAAGACCGTGACTTCAGGAAGGGGCACCCAGGGCTCTCGCAGCTAGCCCCCTCCCCATGGAGGAGAGTTTCCTTGAATCCTTTGGGAGGCTGAGCCTCCGGCAGCGGCCGCAGCAGCAGCCGCCTCGGCCGGCGGCCCCCCCGCCCCCGCGTGGGACAGCTCCGCGCCGCCACAGCTTTAGGAAGCACCTCTACCTCCTGCGCGGCCTCCCGGGCTCGGGGAAAACCACTCTGGCCAGGTAATGACCCCGCCTGGGGCAGGCGCGCGGACCCCGGCCGAGCGAGCCCCTGCCGCGCGGCTCCCGCCCCGCGCCGCCCGCCCGAGCCTGGCGGTGGGGAGCCGGGCCGGCCCAGGGCTGGTGCCGGGCGGGCGGGCGGGCGAGGAGGGCGGCCCGTCCCGTGTGTGTCCGTGCTGCGCTTTCCGAGGACGGATTCCGGCACTGCGCCTTGCGCGAGCTCAGATGGCGCCGGGCCCAGTGCCTGCCGGGCCGAGCGCGGGAGCCTCCCCAGCCCGGGGTCGGGAGGCCCGCGGGGATTCTTCTCCAGGAACCCCCGGTGGCGACTGCTGAGAAAACCTCCGGGACGCCCACTGGCGCGCAGGCACCGGCCACAGTGCGTCAACAGGCGTTTTACCCGGAGCGGAGAAACGAGGGGGCCGGGGCGGGGGGCCCGCGCTCACATCTGGCGGGGTCAGGCTGCCCTGCGTTTGCTTTGGCAGCTGCGAAGGCGCACAGGTGCAGGGGGAGGGGGCTGGCGCGGCCGCCGCGGGCCGTCATTGACGGAGCCTCGCACTGGGCGCCCAGATTCGTGTACTCGCGAGTTGCGTAAGCGGCCCTCCCCGTACCAGGTCGGCGCGAATTACGCGGGCTCGTTGCCTGCCGCCACCTTGCTAGGCCCACCGCTGCAGCCTCAACTTCCACCGCTCCCTGCCTTGCCCTCGATGTTCCAGCAACGGTGAACTGTGCCTTTGCTGACGCTGGCCCGCCTGCCTGGCTTGCCTGCCTGGCTTGCCCTCCGCCTCGTCTTCTGAGCTCCTTGGCTTCCTGTTTACACATCTGTGACTGCGTTTGGTTTTGCACATGGTTTTGTTTATTCTTCTGTAAGTTTTTTGAAGGTAGGGGCCATATCTTACCTTGCCAAGCACAGAGTCTGGCATGTCGTATGTGTTCAATAGAAGTGGTCCCTTCCCTTCAAAGAGCTTTCCATCTCATTAGAGAGATGAGGCCGGCCATAGAACCATCTAGCTGCTAAAGAAGAATCAAGGTAGCACACATTCAGGAGCTAATTTGGATGGTACACAGACAAAGACTGTGGGAGGAGGGTCTGGGTCCTTCGGGGGTCAGGGAACTGTGAAAGATCTGGTGATGTACTGCCAGTTTTAATTAGGCTTCCTGGCTGATTTGCAGAGTAGAAGCCTTTAGCAAAACAACGTTGCTACATTGTCACAGATTAAAGGGCTGGGTGACTTCCAAACGGCCACTGGTACTCTTGCCTAAGACACGTGCACATTTCAGTAGGCCTTCTCTCTTCTCTGGGAAGGGAGGTGGAGGGTGGAGAGTGGGGGAGCCTGGTTAGAACCCAGCAGAACTTGGTTATTTTGTGATACAGTCATGATGGGTACATCTGTTACCAACCAAGTATCTTCTGAATTCAAATCCTATTTAGTTTCACTTTCGCTTTGCTGATTTGTGGCCTGTCACACACTGTGTGTCAAAGAAGGAAGTAAACGTCTTTGGTCAGATTTTGTCTCTACTCAGAAGGGAAGTAGTAAGATTAGTGGAAGGTGCATAGAATTGGACATCAGAAGCCATTTGGACCTCACATTTCCTCATCTGTAAAGCAAGTGGGTTGGCCTGGGTGGTCTTTACGGTCCTTTCTGGCTCTAACGTTCTACACTTTTAGGACTTTAATTCCTGGTTGACATTTGGCTAAGGAGAAGACAACGGATGAGAGACCAGCTTATTAAAGAACATCTCTCTAGGGACGACTGACGGGAGCACTGGCCTGGGAGTCTGAAGATTGTGCCTTTAGATCCTCTTCGTCACGAAATAGCTGGTGACTTTGGGCGATTGCCTGGCTTTTCTGGGACTTATTTTCCTTATATGTGAATACGAAGAAGGGATTAGGTTAGATGATTTATTGAAGATCCTTTTGCTCTTAATTTCTAGTTGTTAGACTTAAAAATGGTTTGTTAATAATGGCTAGGTAAAGAGCTCTGATCTTGGAGTCAATTTGTGGCTTCAAATCCAAGCTCTGCCACTCACTAGCTATGATCTTTACTCAACATCTCTGCACCTCAGTTTCCTTTCCTGTAAAATGGGGATATCTGCTCTGTGTACTTCAGAGGGCTCTTGTGAAGATTATATGTGTGTGAGAGAACTTGTTAAATTTTAAAGTGCTGTATAAATTTTAAGAGATATTAGTTACTGCCTAAGATGTTGATCAGCTGAGATAAATCTTCAGGGTGTTCCTGGGGAGAAGCCTGGCTCTGAAGTGAAGAAGGCAGCTGGAAGTTAACTTTGTGAGTTCTTCTGTTAGGCTGGGCATTGGCAGTTCTGGGCGCAGAGGAGCCTTGGCACTGCTTTGCGGTGGGTTGTGCATTTATATAGAAATCTGGGAAGTAAGCAAGGAAACAGGCCACAGCTCATTAAGGAGGGAGGCCTGTAGTAGGATGAAATGGTGTGATGGATGTCACAGGCCAGGGCCCTCAAGGAGCTGCCTGCCCCACTTTTTTGGGGGGTCGGGTGGAGGAGAGGAGGAGAATGGCAAATTGTTAAAAAATACACATGTGTAGAAAATAGTAAAACTGTAAGGCCATCTTATGTATTGTTGGATTCTGGGAAATTCATATTTTCTTTATGCTGTGTATTTTCTAAATTTTCCATAATGAACATGTATTTCTTGAATCAGAAAAATAAAATTTTTTTCTTTAAAAATTGGAGATCATTTTTACAGATGCAAGTTCATCTTTTTTCTGCTTAACTTTTATTTCTCATTTGATTAAAGAAATAATAAAAATGTTTTTGAAATTAGGATATGTCTTGTCTTCCAAATCAATGTTAGATTTCTGTGCTTTTCACCTCTATGTTTTCATAGTTTGAAGGGGCTGGAATGTGGAAACCATGTATTTAAATTCTTTGGACATATTAAAACAACAGTTGGAGTTTTGTCTGGTTTAAAAATTTAAGTACATCAGAGTAGTAAAAATTTAGCGTGCCCCCTAAATCTGTTTTATCACCTCTATTTCGTTTTAAAAACATTTCAAAAATAGATTCTTACCGTTGACCTGTAAGTCCTACTTCCAGGAATTCGTTGTAAGGCAATAATTGGACAAGTGCATGGATATAGAGGAATGTTCATCACAGTTTTTTTATGATAGAAAAAATGTGAGCCAACTTAAACACATAAAAATAGAGAGTTGGCTTTAAGTCATGTAGTCATTAATGGGAACATAGATGTGTATTTGACATGCAAATATATTCACACACACCCCCAGTGAAGTTAAGAAGCCTGTTAAGAAAGCTCTCTATATATACACAAAAGTCCCATTTTATGTTAAAGAAAGGGGGTCTACATATACTCATTGACGAATGTGTGAAAAGATAGATATCTGTTGATAGTTGTTGACTTTAGATAGTGGGATTATGGACTTTTCCACCCTGACTTATTTTCTCATTTTTCTACAACAAATGTATTACTCGTTAACTTTTTAAAGGTGAAAATAACTTGTTAAAGTTGAAAATAGTTTTGTTAAATAACTTGACTAGGTAGACTCAAGCTGTGTGACAAAGCATTTATTAAATAACTGAATAAATATGTTTTCTATATAAAAAAGCTTTCCTAGATTTATTCTCAGTTGGACATACACTAGGAAACTTTTTAAATCCATAAGGCAATTGATTTTAATTACTTATTAATTACTTAATTATTAAATATTTTTCTAATTATGAATTAGCATTCCAACTAGCATAGGTCACTTGGTTCTTCATTACCTCAGGTTCTTTTTCATTAAAATGGAGCTAATATTCCATTAATAAGTTTGTTGTGAGGATTTAAGATACTGTGGTAAACAATGATCCTGTGATTATGTATGTGAAAGTACTGTGGAATGCGTGGGCTACATAAATACCAACTATTGTTAATTATTATTCACTAATCAACAATGCCAGTATTCACTGAGTACTTATAAGACTGTTAGTACTTGCTTAGTAAGGTATATACCAAATAGGATGAAGAGAAGGAGCCTATACAAGACTAACAAATGGAAAATAATAATCAATACACTACTATGGGTGAGTAAAGTTGAATGGGGAATAGCGTCTTATATGCTATTGGTGTTCAAGGCCAGGGAGTCTCTGAGGGTCATTAGGAAGATAGGCTAATAAGGGAAGAGAGCATCTCTTCCATGTGGAGATGGTTCTTGAACTGGCCTTGAATTTGGGGAGGATGTGGCTGAACAAAGGGAAGGGATTAGCAACATGAATAAGGAGATGGAGATGGGAAAGAGCTGGGTGAAGTTCTCTTAGGCTAGTGAGGAGAATGGCTTGACTGACGTGGATGGTTCATATTAGTGAATGTGTTGGTTAGGTAAACCCAAGGCTGGATCATGGAGAACATTAAAAGCTGGACAAAGGACTACAGAGTTGATAGAAGAACTAAGATTCCAATCCCAAGACCCTTTCACTCTCAGCAGATGATCCAGAACTATCTCTTTCCACAGCTGAAGTGACAAACTCACCTGGATCTGCACCTATCTTTTCCTCCTACCTCAGTGAAAGCATCTGTGGATGATCTGTTTACCTCTATGCTTTCTACTGTGTGTGTGTGTGTGTGTGTGAGAGAGAGAAAATGTCCCCCACTTTTGGGCCATTTTAATCATTTTTTAAGTGTACAATTCAGTGTTATTAATTACATAACGTTGTGCAACCATCACCACTATCTATTTCAAAAATTTTTTTATCACTCCAAACAGAAACTCTGTACCCATTAAGCAATAACTCCCCATTCCCCCCTCCTCTCAGCCCATGGCAACCTCTGACCTACTGTCTGCCTCTATGTATTTGACTACTCTAGACACCTCATGTAAGTGGAATCATACAATATTTGTCCTTTTGTGTCTGGCTTATTTCACTTAGCTTAATGTTTTCAAGGTTCACTCATGTTGTAGCATGTGTCAGAACCCCGTTACTTTTTATGGCTGAATAATAGTCCATTTCATGGATATACCACTAAATTGTCC